CAGGAGTTTGAGACCAGCTTGAGCAAGAGCGAGACCCATCTCTACTAAAAATAGAAAAAATTAGCTCAGTGTGGTGGTGGCACCTATAGTCCCAGCTAGCTGGGAGGCTGAGGCAGGAGGATGGCCCAGGAGTTTGAGGTTGCCGTGAGCTAGGCTGACGCCACTGCACTCCAGCCTGGCGATAGAGTGAGATACTATCTCTAAAAGAAAAAAAAGAAGAAAAAGAAAAAAATTCTCATCAGAAGTGTTTTCAAATTAGAAACAGAGCTGCAAGTGTGCTCCTTCCTCCCTCCCAGCAGCTGGGGCCAGACTTCTGCTGTTCCTCCTCCTGTCGTCTCTGCTGAGTGAAGGCAAACCCAGCCAAGACCCGGAGGAGCCGTGGAGAATTAATGACGTGATGGTGGGCTGACTGACACTGCTGAGTCCGTTGTGTGTTCCTACTCCTGTCTCAGGAGATAAATACGGGAGTCACCTTTTTTAAAGCCCTGTGCAATTGCAGTTGGTCCTACTCAGCGTCTGCAGGGATGTTCCTTGGTTGTTTCTGAATTCTTTGCCCATTTGGACTGCTTTCCCCTCTGACAGCCAGGATGCACTCAAAAAAATGCAATCCAGGTTTAGGAAGAGGGTGATTTTGTCAGAACAGGGTGAGCCTTGACTCCCAAGGCAATAGAAATGGTCTGGGGGTTCCCTGCCTTTTCTGTCCCCAGCCTGTTTTGGCCACTTGCCTTCGTGACACCCTCAGCCCCTACCCCACACCCGGTGCTTGCCCCGTGAGCATGCTGGACCCCTGACTCCTCGCCTGGTGCCCTCTCACCTCCCTCTGGCTGGACGCCTCCCTCCTGCCCCTCTGTTGCCCACACTTGTCCCCTGCAGTGGCACTAAATGCTACCTGCATGCATCTGATCTGCTCTTAGACCAAAGCCTCCTGGAGACGTTCCTTAGCCTGATTTTGTATCCTCGTCACGGCGAGGGGAGCAGGCACTGACTGGGCACGCATGCACTCTGGCCCCTCAATCACAGGTCACAGGATCTTGGTTTATCTGATACACGGCTCTGTCACTCCCAGCTATGTTCTCAAAAATAGAATAAATATCAGACATTAAACAAAAGCAGTTATATTAATGGTAATTATAATTTCTTTGCAAATTAAGTAATCTTGTCAGGAAAAGTCATCACTCATTTCTCTGAAAGTGTGTAAACTTGGAGGAGGACAGTGGTTTTCTGTCCAAGCAACTTTAAAGCATGCCCCATCGATCTTTCTCTCAGTGTTTAGTTGGGCTGTAAACAGTTGTCAGAGACGGTGGAAACCATGAGCAAGAAGGGCTCTGTCACTAGCTTTCAGGTGAACATGTTTCACATTCGTATGTGTTAGGAGCAATTTCAGTGCCAATTTATTTTTTATCAAATACTTATATGCAGAGGTTAGGGGCCTTGAGAAGATGTGGTGTAGGGGATTATGCATGACCTCCAAGTCCTTACTAGGCCCCTGGTAAGTCTTCAGAGCACAGAGTACACCAGCCTGGAGCTCCCCAGATGTCTAGAACGTTCCTTAGAGTTTGGGGTTTAGAAAGTATACTTTTGGAATGGCTACCAAAACTGGGAGAAAGGAAGGACATGCATCATTTGAGGCTGTGGCTCGTAGATTTTGAGTCCCTCCCTGTAAATAGCTGAACAGTTGAGACACAAATGGAACTCCCAGGAAGCCTCTTAGCTCAGAGTCCAGGATCCTTTGCATCTCCCTGGTGGGCAGCCTTGAGAAGTTCCTCAAGGGATGGCCTGTGGCTGATGGGCTCTTTCAGGATGGGTTATCTGTAAATATCTTCATAACTGCTCTCATTCTGGAAAAAGAAATTAGTCTCCTTTCTCTTAGCATCTTATACTCCCCACGTGGCCCCTTCTAGGCTCTGATTAGACTGCCATTCATCCTCTTACTCCCTGCTGCTTATTTTATATGCCTTATCTCCCTGTGCTGTGTCAGGTGATTTTCTTCAGTTCTGTCTTCCAGTTTCCAAGTTCTCTCTTCAACCATGTAAACTCTGTTCAACTTATCTATTGAATCTTTAACTTCAACCATTATATTTTTCATTATCAAACATTCTATATGGTTATTTTTCAGATCTGCCCCCTAATTTCCTCTTTTTTATTGTAACTTTTATTTCTTTATAATTTCATAGTTATTTAACATTCTATTTTAGTTTAATTGTTGTTCCTACTGACTTCTACCTGTGGTGGGTTTTTCCTTAGGTTTTTGATTGTAAGCTCATATTTTGGAACACCTAAGGGCTTCAGTTGGGCTGCTTTTTCCCAGAAGGATTTGTGCTTGCTAATACTGGGAGTTGACACATCTCTGCCCCAGGACAACTCTGCCCTTTTGAGGACTGTGGTCAAATTGGAGAGTCTTGTATGGAGTGGACAACTGTACCGTGGCTGAGTGCATGCTGGGAACCTGGCCCTAGTGGTGCTGGTGTTCGCTAACTGCTCGCAGCTCTGTTCTCTTCTCATCTCTCTCGGGGATTCCCCTTTACTGTTTTGGAGCGGCAGTGTGTTGAATAGCATGTTTGCCTCTGCAGTGTCTTTTTAAAATAAACCTTTCTATAAATTTAAAACTCTTTGAAAAGATAAATTGTACTTGAAAAAAATTGTGGTTATGGAACTTTACCTGCCTGGGAGGCCTCCTGGAGGGGTCTGCTGCAGCAGCCTCACCCATGGCACGCTAGCACAGCACTGTCCCGCCCCGCCTTGCAAACGCCCCACTGCCACCTTCTCCTCCAGTCTCTCTTGGGCTTCTGGGACACCCCTCTTTCCTGGTTCTTGAGTTCCAGCTAATTTGGGAAGTGTAGGTGCTGTGTGTGTAGAGATTTTCAAGTGTGCTTTGTTCAGTCTGCCAAATTCTGAGAATGTAATTTTAATCATGCATGTGACATGAGGTGAATCACTACTTTCACATTTTATGATTAATTTTTCAGATGTTATTATTGACAGTATTTCTGACTTTGTGTACAGCTTGCAGAATCTGTTTTCATAATCTCAAGGTAGTAATTTGCTTTTTACGTTATGTAGATTATACCGTGATCATAGGGGATTTATTGTGGGTGTGGGAAGAGTGGCAGCGCTGTGAAGTGGTCCTGCCTGCAGCCCTGTGACAAAGCCAGCCCTGCTGAGGGCCATGCGTTGGCCGCCAGCTGTCTGCTCTTTCACCTTCCTGTCTGATAAGAAAAAAGTTAAAAAGTGGGTGTGCACTGAGTGAGTTTTTGCTATTGAAAATGTGTCATGGTGGCAGGATACTCCAAAACTGGGTTTCTGGGTTTCTGAACCTGGGACAACGATGGTTTGAAGCAGCGATTGTCAGAAAATGGCTCCCTCTGGCCGTCCGAGGGCACACCCTGTTGGACCGTGAGGGTGGACGCTCTTAGTTCTGCAGGTGCAAGTCGCCCCAGGGGAAGGGGGCGGGGTTCTTCCACAGCAAGTCTGCATGGACAGCAGGGGGCAGCTGTGTTCTGAGGCAGGCTGGAGGCAGGCCTGGGGCCAGGTGCTGAGTGATGGGATGGCGGGACAGGAGGTACAGAGCCCAGGGACATGGGGTACTCATTTCCAAATGTGAACTGCCTATACCCTTTCCCTCCCCAGTGGAGGGTGGGTGGTGCCTTCAGGGGTTCCCTTGGGGCTCACTTGTTTGGAATTGGCCTTAGGGATCTTAAAACCCCTAATGACCTCAACTTTTTGGGGTGGCCCAGGATTTAGGGAGAAGTGCTGGTGGGTGTGCCAGGTTGGCTAGAGATGGCACCTTTTTCGTGAGTTTCTCTGTGGCCACCTCTGCCTTTACAGAGAGAGGACAGGAGTGTGAACCCCTCCCAGGCCAAGTCCTGGGGGTGCTGTCACCTGGCCAGGCCAGATCCCAGGGATCTGGGGAGGTGAGCCCAGGACTCCCTTGTGGCCAACCAGGAGGCAGGTTTACTCTCCCCACAGGAGCTGGGAGGGTCCTGGTCAGCGTCCAGCTCCTGCTTGTCCAGCATGGCTGCTTTGGGGGCCTTCGTGGCACAGCCTCTTCCAATCTGCTTGGGCCCTTCCAATCATGCTGCCCCCAGCTCCTCCAGCTCCCGTGTGCCCTGGTGTGCCCCCACTTCCTCAGCCCCCCTCCCTCCCCGATTCCTCTCCCTCCTGGCACTGGTGTCCCTGGCCGGTTGTCCTGCATGTGCATCCCCAGAAGGTCTTCCGAGTTCTCCATGCACCCTTCCTGTCAAAGAACTTGGGTAGTTTTTGCTGTTCTGAGTGTCTGTCATGCCTGGCCACAGCCAGCTCTCCTGTGCAGCTTGTTCATTCTTGTCCCTGGTGCCTGGAAGCCAGCCTCCCTCCACCCCTCTAGCCTCTTCCACTCTTCCAGGCCCCTCCTTGGAAACTTCTCCCTAGCCCACTTGCTTGCGGCCACTCTTGCACTGCTTGGGTGGGTGGCTGGGCATGGCTCTAGGCTTGACGCCTTCTCTGCCACCACCTCTGGGTTATGTCACCTCCCTGGGCCCTTGGGGTGGAGGTGATGCTGGTGTGTGTGTATGTGACCTCGGGACAGTGTCTGGCATGGGGCACACCCCTGCCCATGCTGGGGGACGTTAAAGCAGGCAGGCCCAGGGGTTGCTGGTCCACTGCCCTCCTCCTTAATGCTGTGTGTCAGCAACAGGGCTGATCATTCTGAAGTCTGCTGAGTTCCTTTCACTGAGGCTGTTAATAAGACAGCAATATCAGACATGCTGGGGTTTGTTCTTTTCAAATGAAAATGACGATGACTTCCTCTTGTTGGGTGTCACCCAGTTTGGGCGGAGTTCACTCTGGAGGTGGGACTGTAGCTCTTGACTCACGAGCAGTCTGGCCCTCTCAGACCCTGCACCTGGAGAACGTCTCTAAGGACCTTCCAGAGAAGCTTCCAGTTTTGTTCCTCAATGGACGTACTGTTCCTGAGTTTTGTCATGAGGCTTAATTAACTCATGTCTCTCTCTCTTTTCTTTCAGTCTGCAACTGTGTCTGATGGTGGTAAGTCACGATTTCTGATGTATATTTTATTATTTTTAACAAAGTTTTCAAATTGTGAAAGTCTTTGTCATTTGACACTCAAAAACATGTTTTCTTTGCCTTTCCCTGTCCCTTTGTGGGAGAGTTTTAGTTGTGGTGAATTTGGGGGGCACTTTCTGTCACCTCCTGGTGGCCGTGGTCTGTGTTCGGAAGCTGCTCACTACAGAGGAGTGTGGTGAGCCTGAGCACGAGTGTGCTAGAGTGGTGGTCCCCAACCTTTTTGGCACCAGGACGGGTTCCATGGAAGACAGTTTTTCCACAGACTGGGGGTGGGGGTGGGGGGTTGTGGGGTGGATGTGGTGCCGAGCTCAGGAGGTGACGTGTGGCTGTTTCCTAACAGGCCACGGACCGGTGCTGGGCCACGGCCGGGGGCTGGGAACTACAGTGCTAGCACATCCGTGGTCGTCCGGGCCGGGGCACGTGCTTGGGCTGCTGTCCCTCCCATCGCATGCCTGAGTTGACAAGTTGCAACGTGTGTTTGCTGTTCCCTTGTTGTATAACCAGCTTTTAAACCAGCAAGTTAAGACTTCAAAGAGCTTGCTGAATTTGAGCAATTCTGGAAATTTGGGTGAGACTCCAGGCTGCTCCGTTTCCTTTTCTTAGGAGAAGGACAGTAGGTGAATTGAGAGTGTGGGATAAAGAGGAATCAAAAACTTTCTGTCTTTGAATAATTTTATGCTCAGGAATTCTTTTAAAGGGACTGATTGAAAAAGGAAATACCCAGAAATGTCTTAGTTCACTGAAGATTTCTCCAGTGTAATCCTTATCGTTTTAGTTTGATGATTTAAAAAAAAAAAAACTCTCCAAAATGATTTGGAGAGTCTCTTCCAAATATTCCTCATTTCTTACAATACTCATAAAAGTCCTTATGCTCACAAGTTTTGTTGTTGTGTTTTACGTGTTTCTGTCCGTTCCTCTCTTTGGGGCTGGGTCACGTGGTGTCGCACAGGCTCAGCCCTTTGTCCTCGCTCGCGTGCGGGGGTGGTCGGTCCGCAGTGCAGACCCCGGGCCACAGCTGCCGAGAGGCGACAGCGTCGGTGGAGGCTGCCCTCTTTGATTGCAGGTTAAAGAGAGGCCAAGTGTAGTTTTCTTGAAACTTTCTGTCATCCCACAGCTGCCAGTCTCGGTCCTGGGGCCCCAAAAGGGCTGCTGTCCCCTGCCAGGACACGGAGCGCAGAGGCCCGGTGCCCGGTGCTGCTAGGTGGCTCCGTGGGCAGCGAGAGGAGGGCAACCCTGCTGGACAGACGTGTTTGTACTGCAAGTCGAGGCTGGACAGAGCCTACCGCTTGCATGTTCAGGATGTGTCTTTTTGAATAAAGGAATCGTGTTTCCCAGTTTACGCACAGTGATAATCGTGTCACTTGATCAGTCTTAAGCTGAGAGTGGGAAAACCTCCTTGATGAAAAGAAATAGGGCAGGGGGGAGGAGGAGGGGGCGGGTATATACATACATAATGAGTGAGATGTGCACCATCTGGGGGATGGTCATGATGGAGACTCAGACTTTTGGGGGGAGGGGGGAAATGGGCATTTATTGAAACCTTAAAATCTGTAACCCCATAATATGCCGAAATAAAAAAAAAAAAAGAAATAGGACCTGTAACCAAGTCCATGATAAAAGTGAATGGTTTTCATAACATTTTCTACTGTGTTCTGACTTCTCTTTTCTGGTGGAAGACATTCATTTCTGCAGGAAATATATAAATTTGAGAGGTTTACTTAATATGTTTAATCATATATGATAATCCTTATTTACCTCTAAAAGTTTTCTTGTGTCAGCAGTAGGTGCAGGGAATTTTATTATGCAGTCCATTTTATAATTTTTAAAGACCTACGCTTCCCAAGTGTGGGAAGACCCTACCCCCAGACCGCTAGCTCTGTAGTCCTTTGAGGAAGTGGTGCTCTGGCTGGGTGATGGGGATCCCCTGCCCCTGGGGGTTCCCTCTTCCTGGTCCCCTCTGCCCTCCACTTCAGACCCCCGCTGTGGGGAGTCCCCTGCTGCAGGAGGGGAGGGGAGGGGGAAGGGGTTGCTTCCCGAGTACACCCTGAATTTCAGGACCTGTACCAGTATTTCATGTTATTTTTCCATTTTCAGTTTCTTTAGTGATTGTAAGAGTAAAAAAAGAGTTATGTCATTTAATCTGCATGTTAATTCTAGGTCTGACCTCCAGGGTCACGTGGTAAGGCAGCAGCAGAGCTGCCTTTTCCCTATTACTGCTGCTCCGCACGCACTCCCTGGGCCATGCCACCCACCCCTGTCACACCGTTTTCCATCTAGGGGAAAGATCTCAGATCTGTATCCATTCCAGACCTCACTCCATTCTTGATGTGTTACATTCTCTTCATGGTGGCCGTGAACTTTTCGAGATTAAATCTCAGGCCCTTTTATGGTTCATAAGGGTGATATTTGGGTTTTCATGCTCATGTTTGAGATGTGCCTCCTCAAACCTTGTTACATCGGCACATTAGCAATCTGATGGGAAAAAAATAAAAAAATTTAAAATTAATTCTAGGTCGTTATTATATCCTGCCATTGTTATAGGTGGGGCACCAAGGCAGAGTGGGAGAAACTGATCAAGGTCATGTAGGTGCAGGTGGAGCGCCGGGGCTCAGGCCTAGGGGTCCCCCATTTTCTGCACCTCTCCTGGAGAGCCCCACCTGGCACTGGACCCTCCCCTCCCCAGCTCCTGCTATTCTTTCCCATACTGGCTTACGGGGATGCCCCCACCTCAGGCAGAAAGAGGGGCCCTGTCCCCCCAACCCCGCACTCTGCAGCAGTGACAGGAGATCGCTCAGAGGGTCCTGACAGAATCTCGGGGTGTTTCCACACAAAGATATTTACATAGTTTGCGGTCAGTGGTGGGTTCAGGCTCACCAAGGGGAGCCCAGGAACTCGAGCACCACACTGTTTCTGTGGGGAAGTGTGTGTTCCAATAGGGACTTAGGAGTTGCTTGGATGGCAGGAGAGTGCCCTGTGCCAGGTGGCAGCTGTGCCTACCTAGTCATCCAGGCCAGCTTTGGTGATTAATAAATTGCTCAGTTTGAAATATTTTTTGTTCAATTAACCATTCCAGTGAGATAATTTGCTCTAATTTAATAACTGTTTTATTCCATGTCACGTGTTATACTTTTACTGTTTATGTTTTTGCTCTATAGTTTTGTGGCTTTATTTTAAAGAAGTTGGACAATGCTATTTTTGTAATCTTTGTCAACTTGGGGTGTGCTTTTTCACTTTCTCAGAAGGGAGTAGGCCTATGATGTCTGCCCCCTCCTAACCAAAGACCATCCTAGGAGGAAGGGTCAGAGGTTGGTCTCTGCGGAGGGCAGCCAGGGCCCGAGGGGGAGGGACAGGGAGCAGGTGCTGGCTGGAGGGAAGGAAGAATGCCCAGTGTTGTAACTGCCCATGGGACATCATCCAGACAAATCACACAGAAGCGTGAGGGCCATCTAGGGGAGAGCATAAATCACTAAGAAATAGGTAAAAGTAAGACCTTCTAATTGTTAATGGAAGAAGAACCTTCCGATTTCCTGATTCTGGGTTTTTGTACAGTGCAGCTGGGTTATTACAAAGCTTATTCTCATAATGTTTTTCACTGTTAGAGCTCTGTGCCAAGAGCTTTGCCAGGACTAATATCTTGAAAGAGTAGGATGTTTTCTGCTGTGGCTGGATGTGCTTTGGAGGCTGAGAAGCTGAGACTGCCACGGAGTACACCCTGGCAGCGCCTCCTTGGGCAGGTGTGGGTGTGTAATCACTGGGGCATCAGTAGATGAGTGTGGCTCTGGCTTTGGGGCCCACAGCCTGTCTAAATGGCACCTCACTCTGGCCACTCCATGAACACTCCAGCCTCACCAGCCTCCCTCCATGCAGGCTGGTCCCAGGTCCCCATCCCTGTGTCCCTGTGTCCTGCGTAGCTTGGATGACTCGGCTCCGCCCCAAGCATACTGTCCACTCGGGTGGCCTGTCCACTCTATGGCCTGTCCACTCGTCCCTCCACATAGATCTCAGTCTCGTCGCTGTCTCTGTGGCTGCCTGTCTCTCCTACTCCCTTCGCCTAAACGCCTGCCCCACGGCAGCAGCAGTCATCTGCCTGGCACCGGACTGGGCCCCTCTCTTGGCACTTAGGATAATGGCCTCCAGTTCCAGCCAGGTTGCTTCAAAAGACATTTCATTCTTTGTATCGCTGAGTAGTAGTCCATGGTGTATATACACCACATTTTCTTTATCCACTCATCAGTCAGGGAGCTGCGTTTTGATTATTGATCTGTAGCGTTGCTTTTGCCTGCTCCCCTCCCCCCGAAACTGACCTCCACGTGGCATTCAGGGCTGTCTGCGGTGCTGAGTGCAGCGGCTGGCACAGGGACTGTTTGTTGAGTGAATGATTGAACTGTAGCACTTGTGATAGTCAGAAGACATAGCCAGAGTGTCGGAGTGAGACTTGGCTTAGGACAGTGGCTTGCAGCGTTGTTTCTGTTTGGTAGTGAAACCTTGTCAGAAAGCAAGCAGACAGATTTAGCAGCATCCTGTTGGGAAGGACACAAAGGCAGAAATGCCTGGTGACAACTGTGGAGAAAGCTCCCATGCTGCCCTGCCACCGGCCAGAGTCCCTCGGCTGACTTCATCCTGGGTTCTGCCTGGCCACGGGTGAAGACGTGGGTCCCACCCTTAACCCCAGCTCACAGGCTGACCTCCGGGGCAAGTCATTTCTCTTCCTTAGTCTCACGTCTTCGTCTTTGCTCCAGGCCTCACGGATGCGTCCCAGCCTGTGCCGCAGGTGGCTGTCGGGGAACGAGCCGAGCGCTGCAGCCTGGGAAGCACTTACCCACGGCTGCCTGACGGGGAGGGTCACTCACCCTGCCAGATTAGTTTTGGGGAACTTAAACTACGTCCATCTTTAAAATATAAAGTATTACAATAGTTAATATTTTTGACAAATCAATTTGTATTCTATAAAATTATGAAAG